ATATTTTATGAGAAATAGTCTGTATTTCTCATTTTTTTTATTCTTTTGCGTAAAACTAAAATTCATGCCAATATTTTTCCATGATTTATAATAATTGGAGTAATGCAAATGCATATTTTCTAAAAACAGTCATTTTTAGTGAAATTTTGCCGGGAATGGGGCTTTAAATACACACTTTTCAAACATAGAAAATTATTATTGTACAGCAGTATACACTGTACTGGAATGTAGGTAAAAAGTAGGCCCGGAAAAAATGGTCCCCGAAAAAAGGGGCTCCTGAACATATGGCCACAGAAAAATTGCTCTGGTAAAAATGGCCCAAAATGATAGGTTGTACACTTACTGTCCTGCATTTTTTAGGATATTACATACCTACTGCACACACGTAGATATAATTTGTTGTTTTTTTTTTTTTTAGTTTTTAAATATAAAAATCTCATTAGACATTTTACCTCAGCCTCAATTTGTTCTTATATTGTTAATTTTTAAGCAATTTCAGCCTCAGTGTTCTTATAAAAAAATGTAGGCCTAATAATACTTATTGATGAAGCCGATAAGCAAAAGCACCAAAAGACAAATTATGTCTTATCAATATTCGAAAAATATGACGAGGGTGCTATTGAAATTGAGGAAATAAGAAGAGCTAGGCCTAGGCTGGTTAGCACACTCTTTAAATTGATTGCCTGGCCTAGGCTAGCCTAGTCGATAGTAAGTAGTAAGCCTGGGCCTAGGCCTCTAATAACATGCTAGGGAGTAATTACATTTTTAGGCCTGGTACGTATATATGAGGTACAGTATATAAAACAAATATTGACTGCTCTAAATTCAGGAAACAGTGAAATCTATTTCCCCTTGGTGATGCGTGGAGACCGTAGCCTATAAAGCAGGGGAGGATTTAGGGGTGGGGTGGGCGCCTGCGACGCTCCCTCTCCTTTTTATCACAATTTTTTTAATGAGATAATCGCGCAATTGATAGCTACAAAGAAAGGAGTAAAAGTAGGTATATGCTTCTAAATAATAGATGCCTTTCGTTGTTGTAAGATGCCTTGTAATAGATTTTAAGGGCATACCATTTCAACAAAAATCTTCCTATTTTGGGAGGGGACCCCCTCCCATAGATTTCAACTTTCCCCTCATGAGCAGTCTGTTTACCATTAGTATAGTATATAGGATAGTAAAAAACCAAATTGTAAATACCCTCACCAAAAAATAATTTTAAAATCACGAATGTGAATCTAACAAAATATGTCTTATTCATTTTTTTCTTAGTGTTAAATTCAGGAGATACTGTAAGCACTCGAGCAGAAGGTAGGCACCTTCACTAATTAGTGTGATAACATTGTAAAACATAATACTGTATGTTCATACGGCTTCAACACTCTACCCTCCTGCTTTAAATTCATACTCTAAAATGGGAAAGGTCTGAAAGACAATCTAGAATGTAATCAATTTAATATGTTTTATTTTCTAGTATAGGCTATAGTCCTATTGTATATGCTTTTTATGGATTATGAAAGTGAAATTGATTAAAGGCTTTGGACACCTACGGAATTATATTTAGACCTAACACAGAGCATTTAGAAGCACTGACGAAAGCTAAAGCAATGTTGGGATGATGATGATGATGAGGAAAATAATTTATGTTTGTATAGCGCCAATAAACAATAAATCATTCCCACAGCGCTTAAATGATGATGATGATGATGATGACTTTGCAGCTGATGATGGGGGTACTCATCGATGATGATAATGGCTGATGATTATTTCGCCCTCTATACTTTTACATAAACTGAAACTATGATAATTATTTGTTTTGCAGGCAGTGTGCCTACATCAATTTCAGGTGACCATCCTGTCAATCGCAGCACCGTACAGTGCGTCAGTATCACTGAATTACGATTGAAAGCTAAGGACAAGATGAAAAGTCGTTACCTTGACAATAACAGAGAATTTTCAACTGAATTTCAACCGGGTTAGTTAAAACCATCCAGTATCGAGTAACGGTTGGCAAAATTGGACCGTGGATTGTGTTGTTATCATTAAAATGATGATAATTATGATGTTGATTAGAAAAATTTTGAGGATGATAATGATATCAAATTCTTAAATCTTGTAATAATTACTTTTTTTTCTTATAATATGGTAATAATTTTAACCAAGTGTTTTTCATTGTATTTTTGTGCTGGTTTGATTCTGTGCAGTACAGGAGTGTCACTCTGATAATGTTTTACACTTTTGGAAATCCCCACGGTACTGTTACTTTTCAGCTAGATCTTTTCATTTTGTCTCCATATGTTTCTTTGTTTGCGATTGGTTTACCTGGAAATTGAATAGAAATGTAAACTTAAACAATATCAAGTTGGAAATTATTTTTAAAAATTATTTTTAGGCCTATTTATAAATGGCCTATTTATAAATGGGCTTCTACTAGCCCTTGGCCCCAATGCTTCGCACTGGCTGCACTACCATCCGTACGCTACTGGATAAATACTAATATACATATACGGCTCCTCAATGACCCACCCACCATGTTTTCAAAAAATTTTCACTTACTTCACTGATTTTTTTTTATATATAAGAAATTGAATTATTGTACAAGTTTGATTTCATTTTTCTGAAGTGTTGATGATAAATTTAGACGCGAACTAGTATGGCTATTTTGCTATTTAATTGTAGCACATTATTATGTTTCTGACTATATAGCCTACTTATTATTTACTGTTACTCGTTGTGGTTTTTAGTGGGCTGTCTTCATATTCCGCAAGGTAACTGCAGTGGAGTCTTGCCCTACGCAAAAACATTCATTCCCAACAAATACGTTGATTCATTTGAAACAGCTAAAAATTACCTAGAAGAAATCAGTGGTCTACAAGATTGCGATACGCATGCTCTGTATGTAGTATGTTCTTGGCTATATCCACCTTGCATTACTGACACACTTCAAGTAGTGCCCTGTAAAGGTGTTTGCGAGGGTGTGGTTAATGGTTGCCAAGAAATCTTTAATACGACAGCCATTGGATCGGAGCTTTCTTGTGACTATTCTCCTGTAGGTGAAGCTAATGAAATGGATTGCCGACAAAGTAAGTACTTTACCCCATTTAAAGTGTATAAAATACATACTATGTATATAAGATTAGTCTATACATGGTAGCAATACTAATGTGGCACCATGAAAATTTTGAAGATTTATCTAATATCGACCCTAGACTAGGGCATATCTCCTATGTTAACTTCAACAAAGATTGAAATATGTTATAATGTTATATGATAATAACTCATTATTATTATTATTATTATTATTATTATTATTATTATTATTACGTTTTTTGTAATAAATGTTATGTTCTGGTCTTAACCATTCTAGAATCACTATTAGATAGGCTATTTCCATTAGGCTTTAACGAATGGTTACCTTGTTGGAAACAGTTGCTGTTAGTTGTATTAATAAGCGGGAAATTTTCTTATACTTAACTATAATCTTTGGTTTTTATTACATGTGTTTACGAGACATAAGAATTTATAGACGCGTTGACGCGCGCAAGCTATGCCAGTAAGCTAGTAACACTGCTTAGATTTAACGTTTGCATCAACATGTCCTAATAATGTTAACAAATGACGAATAGCGAATTGTGCGAATAATGGGTAAAAATCGAATATTTGTATTATGCTTTGTTGTTTTTTTAAACACATATTTGTTATTGTGGATGCATATGTTTTTATAATTTTTGTATTTGAATGATGAAGTTAGTCCTAACTAATAATAATAATAATAATAATAATAATAATAATAATTAATAATAATTAATGATAATTAATAATAATAATAATAATAATTAATAATAATTAATAATAATAATAATAATTAATAATTAATAATAATAATAATAATAATAATAATAATAAATTAATAATTAATAATAATAATAATAAATTAATAATTAATAATTATAATAATAATAAATTAATAATTAATAATTATAATAATAATAATTAATAATTATAATAATAAATTAATAATTAATAATAATAATTAATCATTAATCATTATTATTAATAATAATAATAATAATAATATCGTTCTTTTATAGTGCTTCATGCCTTTACAAAGCCTCTAAGCGCTTCACATTACTACCCCGGTCATTACAATACTGGAGTAGAAATTGCGTTAATTAAATTTCGTGTCAAGATTTATTAATATATACTTTTTATTCAATCTGTGTAAAGTGGTTAATACTGTAGTGTCCAGTTTTAGTATATTTTCAGGATTAAAAAGACAAAACATTTGACATTTATGATAATGTTAATAGTTTATATAATAGTTTAACCACAAGCCTGATGTATGTTATGTGTGTATAATAATTATGGTTGTTACAAACATTAATTGAACTTTATGGCACTCATTTGGTTTAAACTTATTCCTACATGATTTACAGACGATTTATTACAAGCTATATTTTCTTATGAGAAATAAAGTCTGGACTTTAGGATAAATTTCGATAGATCTAGGCTAAAATTGATCAATCTCTTGTCGTTAGAGAAACACTACAAAGAATAACAAATAGGCCTAGTAACATTAACGATCTGATCAAACTATATTCTCCTGATTGTTTATACCGTGACAAGAGTGGTCTTCACACCTAATTTGCATGGCCTTTAATTGGTCAGTTGGAC